TTGTCATGCATAACGAGTTATGTAAGTTTAGATATATATGTATGTACGCGCGCGTGTGTGTGTGTGTGTGTGTGTGTGTGTGTGTGTGTGTGTGTTGTGTGTGTGTGTGTGTGTGTGTGTCTGTGTAGATGATAGAGAAACAAAATAATTAAGATAGCATCTCTAACTAAAATAGCACCTATAATGCATATATATAAATCAAATATCTATAACGCATGCACTTTCCTATGCACACACGCAATACATGTACACACGTACGTACACACCTAACCACACACACACACCCACACCATACATAAGCGTCCTTACCTCTCTCCTCAACCCCATCATCACCACTTTTTTTTATTATTATTATTATTCAGAAAGCAAGCACTGCATGTTCCTATTACCTCCCCTCCCCTCCCCCCTCCCCCCCATTTCTACTTCAGAAAGCAAGCACTACATGTTCCTGATACCCTTCCCTCCTCCCTCCTCCCATCCTCCCTCCTCCCTCCTCCCTCCTCCCTCCTCCTCCTCCTCCTCCCTCCTCCCTCCTCCCTCCTCCTCCTCCCTCCCTCTCCTTCCCTCCCCACTCCCCCCTCCCCCCCGTTCTCTACCTCGAGCATTGCTTGCAGGAAGGCATCGTCGCCGCCCACAAACGGAGCACACGAGGGCGAGCGTGCGTTTGGGTCGTGAGTCGTGCCTCGCTCCGCGCCCTTAATGCCTGTCTAGTTCCTTAATGGCTCTTTGTGGCTCTTAAACGGCATTCCCCCCTCCCCCTCCCCCCCATCCCCTTCGACCCTCGCCACGTGCCCCTATGGCTCCGTTCAGCTGGTTCCTTGGAGTGAAAGTGGAGGAGAGAGAGAGAAACAGGTCCTTTTCCCCTGGGACGGTGGGGGTCGTCGGGTGGGGGTAAGGGGTGGGGGGTACGTTGGGGTCTCTCGGGTCGTTCGGGTGGGGTCGTCGGGGTAGGGGTGGGGGTGGGCGGTACTTGGGGTCTCTTGGGGTCGTTCGGGGTGGGGGTCGTCGGGGGTGGGGGTAATATTGGGGTCTCTCGGTGTCATTCGGGTTCGGGGGTTCATTGGGGTCTTGCGGTCATTCGGGGTGGGAGTCGTCGGGGTGGGGTATATTGGGGTCTCTTGGGTCGTTCGGGATGGGAGTCGTTGGGGTGGGGGTGGGGGTTCATTGGGGTCTCTTGGGGTCGTTCGGGTGGGCGGTACATTGGGGTCTCTCGGGGTCCTTTGGGGGTGTGGGGGTTCATTGGGGTCTCTCGGGGTCTTTGGGGGTGGGGTTGGGGGTAGATTAGGGTCCTTTGGGTCGTTTGGGGTGGGGGTATATTTGGGGTCGTTCAGGGTGAAGGTGGGGGTGCATTAGGGTCTCTCGGGGTCGTTCGGGGAGGGGTCGTTGTGGGGGGTGGGGTAGGGGTCGTTCGGGATGGGAGTCGTTGGGGTGGGGTGGGGTTCAATTGGGGTCTCTTGGGGTCGTTCAGGGTGGGGGTGGGGGTGCACTGGGGTCTCTTTGGGGTCGTTCGGGTTGGGGGTGGGGGTGCACTGGGGTCTCTTGGGTCATTCGGGTTGGGTGTTGTCGGGGGTGAGGGTACATTTGGTCTCTTGGGGTCGTTCGGGTTGGGTGTCGGGGATGGGTATATTGGGGTCTTCTTGGGGTCGTTCAGGGTGGGGGGTGGGGTGCACTGGGGTCTCTCGGGGTCATTTCGGGGTTGGAGTCGTTAGGAGTGGGGGTATATTGGGGTCTCTTGGGTCGTTCGGGGTGGGTATCGTCAGGGGTTGGGGGTGCACTGGGGTCTCACGGAGTCGTTGGGGGTGGGTGTTGTCGGGGGTGGGGATATATTGGGGTCTCTTGGGGTCGTTCGGGTTGGGTGTCGGGGGTGGGGGTATATTGGGGTCTTTAGGGGTCGTTCAGGGTGGGGGTGGGGGTGCACTGGGTCTCCCGGGTCGTTCGGTGTGGGGTCGTTGTGGGTGAGGGTGGGGGTACACTGGGGTCTCTCGGGTCGTTCGGGTGGGGGTACATTGGGGTCTCTTGGGGTCGTTCGGGGTGAGGTGGGGGGATACACTGGGGTCTCTCTGGAGTCGTTGGGGTGGGGGTGGGGGTACACTGGGGTCCTTGGGGGTTCATGACCGGTCCTTTTTTTCGTATATTTATCTACATTGATTTATGTGGTGTTGCGTTTGTCTTGTTAGTGTGTCCATTTAATCGCTTATTGGATTTCTTATTATCCTATGATTGATAGGAATATGATCCATTATTATCATTAATATTATTAATATTATCATTAGGAATATGACCTATTATTACTATTAATATTGTTATTACTACAGTTGTTAGTATTATCACCATTACGGTTATCATTCCCATCCCTATTATCATCTTCGTTATCATTAGCGTTGTATTCTCATTGACTATTACCCCAATTATCGCAGAGAACAAACACAATTAGAGAGAAAGAATGAAAAAAAATACCGATCGCTGATAATGATGGCTAAAAAAAAAAAAAAAAAAAATGTCTTCCCGCCGCAGCAGTCCTGAATGCCACGCCAGACAATCGCCAAACCAAGACAGAGAGAGACGCATAAAAGGGAACTCCATTCTAACGTCGTTTGCAATAAATAAAAAAGAGAGAGAGAAAAAAAAATTGACCAATCAGCGCCTGGGTATTGCCGTCGCATCCCCAGAAGAGCATCGGTGCACGAGGCCCTTGGACAATTAGGAATCGACGAGCCCCATTGTCTCCGAATGCTTCACGCGAGATCAGTCCGAAAAAGCCCGCGACGCAGTGCTGTCTTTGTCTAGTAACCGACCCACACGTCCTCACTATGGGTCCATTAAAAACATATGCTTCTGCTATCTCTCTCTCTCTCTCTCTCTGTCTCTCTCGAAAGCTCGCCCCCCCCTGGAGAGACAATGCCGAGGTGAGGACAATGGTAAATAATGCGATCACAAAGACAGGGTCAGCGGTGCATCGAGGAGACGTCGATCAAGTATTATCATACAGCGTGCATCCCGCGTTCGCGCCAGGTGCGGATGGCGCGCGACCACGAATGGGGGTTGCATCTTTTAAAAAGGATTTGAAATCAAAATGAAATAGATGAATGAATAAATAAAATGACATGAAAAAGCTCTTTGGAGAAATTATGCTTTGGAGTTGCGTGTTGTGATAACGAACGTCTCCTATATTTCATTCATAGATTATATTACGAGCCAAGTATGATCTCAAGCACATCTTTTAAAAGATATATAGGCAATAAGATATCTATCAATATGAATGATGGTACATAAGGTAAGGAAACAGATATTTGTTTATTCATTTTTTACAGTTATATAATTCTACATTCCGGTTCCAGTATTTTGCATTAACACACCGCCATAGCTTGATATACTTATCATATGTGTCACCGCGGAATCTGAAGCATGTGACGCCCAGGCTGTCGGTCGCCAGTTTGCGATCTTCACTGGCACCTGCAGGTCGCTCGCTTATCGCTCTCGGATTTTCATACGACAATGCTTCATAAATCCGGCGGAATATATATATGTACATATGTATATACATACATACATATATACATATATATATATATATATATATATATATATATATATATATATTTGTGTGTGTGTATGTGTGTGTGCGTACATGTATGTGTGTGTGCATGTGTGTGTTTTTGTGTTTGTATATGCATGTACAAATGTATATGTAATGTGTGTGAACATACACACACACACACACATATATATGTATATATATGGATATATGTATGTATGTGTGTATATATAAATACATATATGTATATATATATTCATACACACACACACACACACACACACATCTATCTATCTATCTATATATATATATATATATATATATATATATATATATATATATATATATATATATATATATATATATAATATATACAATATATAATAAATAAAAACCATATCCATACCCACACCTGCAACCACCCCAACCACATCCCCACAACCCATCCCGCTCACACGCACAAAAATCACACATTTACGACACAAACACACACGACGGTCGGCAACAACGGCCACCCGCTTAACCGATCCTTTCTTTGTGTTCCGATCGTTCGTGGATGTGAACGAGCTCGTAATCTGATGGACAACACTGCTTGGCCAGTCGCGAGATGTGACGGAGGGGCCTGTGACTTTTTATTTATTTATTTATTTTTATTTCTGTCTTTCTTTCTTTTTTTCTTTCTTTATCTTTTTTTTCTTTATCTATTTTTTTTTCTTTCTTTCTTTCTTATCTATTTATTTATTTATTTTCTTTCTTTCTTTCTTTCTTTCTTCGTTCTTTCTTTTTTTTCTTTCTTTCTCTCTTCCTTTCTTTTTTTTCTTTTCTTTTTCTTTCTTCTCTTTTCTTTCCTTTTTTTCTTTCTTCTTTCTCTTTCTCTTTTCTTTCCTCTCTTTCTTTCTTTCTTTCTTTGTATGTCTGTTTTATTTCATAGATTGTGGCTGGAAGAGATGGAAGGACGAAGAGGAGAAGAAAAAAGTTAAATAGAAAGGAGACAATGAGAAAGAAATAAGGATCTGGCAGCCTCTCTATCTATCTAACTACTTGTTTGTTTATTTACGAATTTCATTATTTTTTTAGAATGTGAAGAACAACATAAAAGGAGGAATAAAGAGAGTGTGAAGGGAGAAAGAAGAGCTTGCAATGTCAACTCCTTTCTGATTTTATTTCCTCTTCAAAACTTTAAGATAATTCTACAGATCAAGAAATCAAGTCACTTCACTGAGATGTATTTATAATCTCACTTTTTTAAGAATAGGTTTTCTCTCTCTCTCTCTCTCTCTCTCTCTCTCTCTCCTCTCTCTCTCTTCTCTCTTCTGCTCTCTCTCTCTCTCTCTCTCTCTTCCTCTCTCTCCGCTCCCTCTCTCTCTCTCTTCTCTCTCTCTCTCACTCTCTCTCTCTCTCTCTCTCTCTCTCTCTCTCTCTCTCTCTCTCCTCTCTCTCTCTCTCTCTCTCTCTCTCTTTCCTC